TCTCAAACCCAGTCCTTTGTACTGAACAATTAACTGGTGGTAGTTAATAATAAAACCAATAAATATAGGCTCTTCTCCCTTTCATGGTCGGGCTAAATCACGACGCCTACTAAAAAATGAAGGAAACTTACTTTCTGATTCCTGAAGACGAGTTGAAAACGGCAGGCAAATCTCAACAAACAGCAAGCCTTGCTGCCGAACGAGTAGCATGAATGCAACCATTTAACAAAACGAAAATGGGCAAGCAACAATAGCACGGATAATGTTGAATGTTAAGGTAAGCTGACAAATTTTCTTTAACATTTTATTTAATTTTGTTTTTGTTGTGCAGAATATACATATGACAAAACTTCCGCGTTGATCTCTTCTCTCCGCTATATTTGCATCTATCCTCGCGACTATATTCTCGCATGTCAAAGAGCATGTGACTCATAGAAGCTTTACTTATAGTCATATGATTTAATTATATTTATTAGAATAGATAATCAACTCCCGCTTTGTATACCACAGACTTATCATCTGATCAATCTGTAAAACAAGCGTATGGAACGATAATCGGTAGTCTATAGGTTGGAGGTGTCGTTGTGACGAATAATCGCGGGACAAGAAGCAAATGTTCCTTTCCGATATAAGGATTAGCGATCTATAAGCTATATCGAATATATAAAACTTGTTTATTAATGACAATGAATAAAGGAAGCAAAAGTAATCGAACACACTAATCTAGCTGAAATTTACGCTGTTTATATATCTTTCGGAAATGCTAATGTTATATTTTTAACAGCACCTGCCCACTAAGATCGTGAATCATGTATGTAGCGGCTGTGTAATATCACTGACAGTTCTGTGGCAGCAGGTGACATTTCCATCTCTTCTTCTGTAGGTATCTCCAAGTTATCTAACCCCATTGGTACAATGGCACAACTTCATTACTTCCACTACTAATACTAACTGACTGACTTTCCTATAAGTATATATGTTCACAACAGAACAATTTAAATTATCTGGTCGAAATATGAATTGTCTATCTCATCAGTTATTTCAAGTGGAACTACTTTTGCATAACAAGAAGCAGGTAGTAGTAGACCATTTAAATATGTTAATGTGTCCAAGGCCCACCATAACTAAGACAATCAAATGAAATCCATTCTAAATAGGCTTCATTTGCTGAGTTTGTTTGTATTGTGACTTCTCATCAGTTATTTCAAGTGGAACTACTTTTGCATAACAAGAAGCAGGTAGTAGTAGACCATTTAAGTATGTTAATGTGTCCAAGGCCCACCATAACTAAGACAATCAAATGGAATCCATTCTAAATAGGCTTCATTTGCTGAGTTTGTTTGTAATTGTGACTTCTCATCAGTTATTTCAAGTGGAACTACTATGTGCCCCTTCTGCAGCCTGAAAACAATGTCATTTATTTTCCTGAACTACTTCAAGAGGAAGGTTTGGAACCACCAACACCAATGAAGAAATTTCCATCAGACTCAGACCCACCCATGTCTGAATTGGATGCTACCCCTCCTTGCATAACAAGAAGCAGGTAGTAGTAGACCATTTAAGTATATTAATGTGTCCAAGGCCCACCATAACTAAGACATAGACAATCAAATGGAGTCCATTCTAAATAGGCTTCACTGAGTTTGTTTGTATTTGTGACTTCTCATTGGTTATTTCAAGTGGAACTACTTTCACATAACAAGAAGCAGGTAGTAGTAGACCATTTAAGTGTCCAAGGCCCACCATAACTAAGACAATCAAATGGAATCCATTCTAAATTGTTGAGTTTGTTTGTATTTGTAACTTCTTAATAAACTTCTTGTTGTTGCTAGTCCATCCATCAGATAATTCCTTATACTACATGGGACTGTATCAGAAGCCACTGAAACTGGTGTTTGCAGTACTGGTGTTTGTTCAAGTGATAGTAATAGATAATAATGCTCCCATAATCCACTGGGCAAACTTCCATGCTCTATAGGTATAAGCATGAATTGAAGACATATAGATATGAATGCTTGAATTTGTCAACTAATTCACTTGATGGTCTCTTGCATCTGTATCTGGGGATTTTTCTTTACCCATGTCTGCTTTGTCTATTGTAAATGGTGTATACTCTGTATTCTGTAAATGGGATAAGCTTGTGCCATAACAATGCATGTTTGCTGAAATCAATCTCCCCACCCACTCATTGAAATGTCTGCTCAATGACATGGTAGTATTAATGATAAACATATACAGTCACCCCTAGACCAGTGCTATGAATCATAATGTCAGACTGACTAGACATCTATGATTGCTCTGCTATGAACTATAATATGTCTTTAAATGCTACAGATATTTCCTGATAACAAGAAGGGGTAGAGGAATGGAAATTTCACAGCTTGCTATTCAATGTTTTAAAGAGGAATTTGCAAATAAGTGTGATTGTCAGATGGACACAATGTTCTGTAAAAGAGTATGGAGAAGCGTATATAATTCAGCTGAGGACATTGGAATTGACTCATCTGGTTTTACGATCAAATATTTGTGTAACATCAATCAAATGACGATTACGTGTAGGTAAAGCGAGAGGGCAATGCGAAATCTGAGACCATTTTGTTAGTAGGCCACCAAAGTTTCCCTTATATGCTTTGAACTACAACTTGCTGCTACAACAACTACTAGGAGTTTACGTAAATACCAACTGTCTTGGCTGTCAGTGATATATAATAGTTACATTACCATGTAAGCTTCCCATTGCACAGTACCTTGCGAGAACAAGTTGCATCTAGTCATGAAGAGATATACTTCTGACTAACCTCTTTCATTATTACCTTCACATTATGGTAGTGTATTGAGAAATTGGGACGTATGGTATATACTGTATGTAATATGTATATAATGATCTCGAAAGCTGAAATCAATTGTCGTCGTCAATCAGCACTAAGGCAACAACCAAGAACCCAATGCTCATGAAGTTTATATGTTTGGTAAGTGTAACTGTTGCCAACGCGTGTGCAATGAATTGACACAGAATATTATGTACGATTTGAATTTGGATATACCCATCAGCTTGATTATTCGAAGACGCGAAATCAATTTTCGTCGTCAATACAACAACCAAGAATCCAACGCTCATGAAGCTTATACGTTTGTTAAACGTAACTGTTGCCAACGTGTGTGCAATAAATTGACCCAGAATATTATGTACAATTTGAAGTTGGATATGCCGATTGGCTTGATTATTCGAAGACGCGAAATCAATTTTCAGCACCAACACAACAACCAAGAATCCAATGCTCATGAAGCTTATATGTTTGGTAAGCGTAACTGTTGCCAACGTGTGCGCAACGAATTGACCCAGAATATTATGTACGATTTGAATTTGGATATGCCGATTGGCTTGATTATTCGAAGACGCGAAATCAATTTTCAGCACTAAGGCAACAACCAAGAATCCAATGCTCATGAAGTTTATATGTTTGGTAAGCGTAACTGTTGCCAACGTGTGTGCAATGAATTGACCCAGAATATTATGTACGATTTGAATTTGGATATAATCTACTGCGTGAAAAATAGGGTACCAAAAAATTTCACATTTCAAACACTCCATGCATAAGGGTATCAAAAATTTATTTTGAATTTACTATATATAAAATGGTTATTCATACATGCGATAGATGCGGTAAAGAATTTCCCAAATTGGCTAAACTTCGTTCACACCTTAACCGAAAATATCCATGTCGACCTCAACAACTGCCATTACTTGCTGAGTAATTTAAATTTGATCTCATTTTTATCGATTGTTGTATGTTCATTGTTCGTGGATGGTGAGCGATTAATGATATGTATGGCAAGGTTTTTCACTGTAGGGTTTAAAAAAATTTCGTTTCTCTATTCTTGTTGACAGATTTTTCTTGCAGTCCTTACTTGCAGTCCTTTTTCGCGAAAGCATGGCCAAAGGCAAAAAGCAACCCCGCCAAAGCCCCAAGACGTAGGAATGATGATCGAACTAAAGTTTAATAAGTAAAGCTTACGCTTAACTCGCAAGACATCGAGCACAGTCGTCTTTCGGTCGATTACGTCAACATGATCTTTGTCTTCGGCGACAGCTACAAGCGTACGTATTGTTTTGAATAACTAATTGCCTTAACATGGTTACCACTCTTCATTCCCACCGTTATCTAACGAGATTTAACGAACCTTTCCCCAATACCCTTTCTAGATCTTCACCTTGCTCGTTCCAAACCCCACTCGTTTTCTAACCTACCAAGCTGTCATTCAATACTGTAATTCTCCTTCGTATACTTCCCAGTGCCTGGTGCAGCATCATTACTCCGTGCAGCAAGCCACTCGCTAACCTCGATGTATATTTGCTCAAAAAACCCATCTCAGAAATATTTCTGCCAAGTACGAGAAGGATAATACGGTGTGCCCGATCACCGATCAAAGTTCAGACTCGGCGCAAGCGATCTTTCCCATTATGACAAGTTCGGTGTAGGAAATGAGAGAACTTCTGCTCCTATTCCCAAGAATCATTCTTTGGGCTACAATTGTGTAGAACTCGATTCTTTCCCTTCCAAGCCGTCCGTTCGTCTTAACCCAACAATCTTCTAGACTTCATAGATCGTAGTTACATCGTTGGTCTTCCTCGGTCCCATATGTTGATTAGATGTTAGTCAATCTAATATGAGTATTACTGCATTGTTGTCCGCGTGTTAAAGCGTCGGATAGTGTTAAATTGCTTTCGGTGGATGATGGCGAAGAGGAAGCTCGAGAGACATAATAGAGATAAAAGGAATTACTTTTTAGTATTTACTTCATCTTCCAATCGTATTGTTCTCATGGTATGCACATGTTGACTGACTGGTTTCTTAATAGTGCTCTTTGAGGGGTGAAACATCCAAAAATTGTTGTTCCAAGAATTAAATAACACAGCAGACCCAGTAATACTAGTAATAGATGAAACGCTTCTGGGGATGAGGCCGCTGTAGGGTCGTAATCGTGGCAGCAGCAATATATTACTGTGCTATCAACATTATTCCTGGTAATCTAAGTTTGTCCAATATCCTTTTTGCATCGTAGTTTATGCGTCGTCGTATATGGAGCCATAGAGTTGTTGTGGCTGTTGCGTGTGGCATTTGCATTGCCATGGCAATCGTGCTGTTGTGCGTAGCGGCGATAGCTTGTCGTCGGCCGCTATGCAATGAAGAAAAACAAGACCAGCAACAAGTTAGCTATTGACCCGCACATGGATGCTTCTATATACTAATCGCTCATTACCCTACCATTCCCTTTTCCATATCCATTTCTAATATACTCCCTATTAACTTACCAATACAGCGGCTCCAATATTTGTAATGTCTGTCAAACTGACTTGAAGAGGGCACTGTCCTATACCATTCCCGTTCTCATACCGTTGCGCAAGGATGAATAATGCATTGGCCATTCCTCGTTGAGCTGCTTTTTGGAAATATTCGGTTGCTTTCTGATTATTCTTGTCTATGCCAGTACCGTATTCGTAGCACCAGCCAAGAGCGAACTTCCACTAGTCAATTTTTTCTTGTCCTTTATCCTCTTATCTCGCATTACTTCTACTTGTATTACCGCAGCAACACAACAAACTCATTATAACCTTTCCCCATCTTTCCAGCCGCTAAAGCAGTTATTTCCCCATTCTCGATTTTTATAATTGTCGTCTCCGATAGCGGTATAATACTACAACGGTAATTCCCTTTTCGATGCACCGTCTGAAATAGGAGCAGGCGGCATAGCCTTTGTATCTTCAAAAGCGTCGTGATTACATCGTAACTGTCTTCCTCTTCGCCAGTAGTTCGATATATATGCGTCGATATGGATGCCGGGATAAAGTACAAGTGGCTAATTCCAAAAAGCGAATAAATGTATAACATTAAGTAAAAAAGAGTGTTATTGATGGGATTCATATATTTGAATACACAAAATAATGCGGTTGTTGGCCAACTGTTATAAAGTACCTCCAGTTGATGATGGTGTATGTAGCAATAAACAAAATAGATTCTATTTGCTCTCCAGGTTTATATGAACATTTCCTGCAAAAATCAATATTGCCTTGCACCAGTATCCTGCCACGCTCTTGAGATGTGATATGCTTCTGGCCGCACACTAAATGGGGAACAATTTGATAACTGGGAAGTAAATACAAGTTATTGAATTACGTTTGCAGTCGGCTTCTATCAAACTTAAACTTACGGCTTTTCCGTCGGTTAATCCTGAATAATGATTCTCCTGGATTATTAAATAGTAGATAGCATCAAAATGTTATTTCACGCTTTTTAGGGGGTATTTTACTAGGGGTACTTTGGTACACCCATGACAACCCCATAGCGTTTATGTAACACACGCTATAATAAAAACTGTGTAGTACATAATAATAACGGATTCACGTGCTGTAACTCCCCTTATTGCAGTGTCACGAATAAAATTATGATGATAACAGTAATAAATGACAACAAGTTTTTTTTCTCTTGTTCATATATCAATATTAATATCGTATGTTAATTAATACAGTAAATATTCTTATTTGCATCACGTGACAAAATAATATCTGATTCCCGGGTCTTTTACGATTTCTCCGGCAGGGTACTATACACGTGGGTACTTTAGTCAGCGCTCTACAGTATTAATAATCAATTGTGATTCTTACAGTTATAGTGTATGCCGGGGATGCTACTGCGGCTGTATCTCCAATCTGATTCAAACTGATCCAAAGAAGTCAGAGTAATTTGACTCTAAAGCCTTTGCCCAATACCGTAATAATAATAACGCGAATTCTGTGCATCAATCACACTCTACATACAATGGAATAATAGTAATTATCTTATACAAAAAGGAAGGATTTCAAATTTGTTGAAAACTATCATGTCTCAAGTGAAACAGCACTTCATTATGCCCTTCAGTCGAACATATTAATATAAATACCCAGCGAATACTTTGGTGGATGGTGTAGCAAACACTCATGGACTGTATATGTATTAGGAAAAAAATATATACATCTCTTGTATGGGAGTAAAAGGTGATCACTCTGCAATTACCATGTTAGATCACAATCAATGCCAAGTGGAAATTCGACAACTTTAAAGTATGAAGACCTTCCTGGACAATTTCTGTGTGTACATCTGGATTCAGAGCAATTGCACCCCATTATTGTTATTGAAGTCATGGACTAAAGTATCAGTCATTATTTACAGTCATTGAAAAGGAGGTGCTGACACATAGTAAAAACAATCATAGTGGTGGGGTGTATTATAGTAGTAGGGTTTCTAATATGGGGAGATGGCAGGATTGTCATCTGCTGCAAAAACTTTCCATTTATTGAGAAGAAACCCTGTCCAAGAAACATCAGACTTGAAAATAATGATACAAGTTAAAAATGTGCTGCAAAGGTGATATAATAATAATAATAATAATACTATGGTTTTAATCCAGCCTTTGTCATATATTTTGCTGGTCCAATGCTTGAAATAGGAGGGCAGATGGATGTACCTTTACAATACATCCTCTTATACATAGCCTCAATATCAAGACCTCTCAGAATATGTTCATCAGGTTAACATTGACATGCAGCAAATCATGATAAAGTCAAAATCCACACAAACAGTTCTTGTGAAGAAGAGAGCTTGATTTAATTGCATGTGCTTTTCATGTCTTGAAAGATGGTATTTGGGCATTGAGACAATATTATTCCTTAAACCATATGTTTAAGCAGGCGAATTTGCCCACTTAAATACTTGGAGAAAATTTAATCCCAGAAAAAATTTCACATATTATTCTTAGCTCAAATTTACTAGAGCAACTCCTAAACAGTCAAACTGTAAAACCATGTTGTGGCATCTGTCATACAACCCCAAAATTTTGAGACATATGAAATTTACCATGTTTCAGCCATGAGGTATATCAAATGACCAAACTTTTCAAATCACCCATGTAATTCATTTTTAACTAATACATAATTAAATGAAACAAACATACTATATAATATGGAGACATATCCATAGTAAAGTTTTATGCAATTAGGATAATTATGTTAATTAAATTACTCTAATATATCGATCCAGATAATAATAATAAGTTGATTTTTTGCCATTGTCTGCCAGCTATACCAGCATCCTTTGTTAATGCATACAATAACAAATTTGTATTTACAACTATAGTGTCTAACATAGAGTTGGTGAAAAAAGGAATAAAAAGGTTGATTGGTTTGGAAAAATCAACTTTGGTACATACTCATTCACCCCATCAACATATTCTTCTGTTACTATGGTTTCAAGAGGAGATGACATATTCTTCAACTGTATTTTCATGGAGTGGAGATTGAGATTATCATTTAATCATGGGATGATCTGCATGGTAGTATGCTTTTATTTTGGCTTAGTATTAGGAAAGTGGGGGGGTATGGTTAGACAAATCATGAGCAATTGCATAAAACTAGGTCAAAAATAATTTAAGCAAATTAGCCCATTCAGTCACTGGACATTTCCCAAAATTTTTGTTGACTTACAAGATCATATAAGGTTACACGAATTTTATTATTTGTTTTGATGTTGACATGAATTTTCTCTTTGATAACAATATGGCAACAACAATTGTAATGATAAGTAAACTTATACACCTTGTTAAGCTCCATCATTCTACAGTTATAGATTGTGAGTAAAACACTTAATTATTGAGCCATGTCTGTTTACAATTATATGCTTTTTTATCTTTGTGATCAGATTCCCACTAAATTTAGCATATTGTAAAGATTGAACCCACGTTTTGTTTGTTTGTGTTTTAAGTTTAGCCTATTACATCTGTTTGCAAATGTGAATCTTTCCTTTTTATTGTTTTTTAGAAATGATCAACACCAAAAAACGCCTTTCAGTATTCAGTTTTAAAGTTATACTATAGCTATAGCTATAAGCTATATGCCTTATGCATTTTGCCTTATGCCTTATGCATTTTGCTTTAGCTATGGGGCCGCAAAAAATGCTTGTCGGAGAACCATCGTTTATATACAAAAAAAAATTTTTTTTTATTTTCGGAAAATTTTTGGTTAAAAGTATGTCGCTCTGTAGTGTACGTTAAATTAAATTGGTCTTCTACACATTAAATTACATCTTACTTAAAAACTTCATAATGTAATAAATGAATTAATATTACGAAAATTTTATAAATATTTCGTACAATAAAAAGTAAAACAAAAAATTTTGCCAGTTTCAATAGTACTGGTTTCTAAAATTTCTTCTTAACTTCATGTCTTTAGGCGGCTAATGGCTAATTTTGTCATTTCATGCGTTTGAACTAGAAAAAATAAACATGAGAACAATTTGTTCTATTTTCAGTTCTAAAAATAGATCAAATTTTAGCACGTTAGTTTATTTTAGTATATAAAAGTATATAAAAAAATGTTGCGTTTTAACTAAATTAGGATGGTAAATAACCTTGATGTAATTATGCTTTACGTTATTCATCCATGTGTAAAATGATCGACCGATTTCATCACTAAACTGATGCACATAAAATATTATTAGTACATATTAATTATTAACCTAAACGTTATACCAGTTTAACTTTATACCAATTATTAGAATCTGCACACAATATTTTTACTTCTGAACCAATAATATAATGTTTTGTTTCAGTTAGCACCACTTACATAAATAAATGTATCAACTATATTTAGACCGATAACATACATATAGTATATATGCATTTGCTTATTTTTACTATTTGTTTGTTATTGTTATTATTATTGTTATTTTGTTGTTATTGTTATCATTATCATTATTATATTGTTATTTTTATTGTTATCGCTATTATTGGTGTTGTTATTTTTATTATTATCGTTATTATCGTTATTGTTATTATCGCTGCAAACTGCAGCTATATCGCAAACTAAATTATTCCCTAATAATGTTGTTTTGTTCACATGATGACCCAATATCGATAATTAAATAACTTATAATTTTCACACGATACAACATTATAAACCATATTATTGTAAGGAGTTTTATATAAAGATGCAACAATCGCAGTCTTCTGATTATGATCGCTTCACACACCACACCGTCTTTAAAAATACCTGCGACAATACTAAACATTGTCTTC